AAAATTGTGTGTGAAAGCCGTCCTTCATTTAGCTTGTTTGGAACGCAGAGTTTCTTTTCAGTTTCAATCTACACTGCATAAGTATATATTTGGAGGATCTAGCTCCAAGTCACTATTACAGTGAAAACTGCAGGAACTTCACAACAGCACTAAAAAAAAAGGCTGCGTATCCAGAGTAATTGTTTCTCCTGCCACCTTTCCCTTTGGGCTAGATGAACAAAAATCACTTCACGTGCTCTTTTCTGAGTGTTAAGTGTGTGTGAAAGCTGTCCCTCACCTAGCTTTTTGGGAACACATAGTTTCTTTTCAGTTGCAAAATACACTATATACATATATATGGGGAGGTACTAGACAAATGTGCTTTTAATGTGAAAACTACAGGAACTACAAACCAGCACAAGGAAGCAGACTGAGTAACCAGACTATGTGTGTCTCTTGCAAACTGTTGCCTAAGTGCTTGATGAATGAACGTCTCTCCACATGCTAAGATCTGAGAAATAAATGTGTGTGAAAGCCGTCCTTTAACTAGATTGTTGGGATCACAATGTTTCTTTTAAGTTGGAAATTACACTACATATATATATATTGGGAGATACTTGCTCCAATAACGTCTTACAGTAGAAACTGCAGGAACTTCACAGCAGCACTAGGAAACAGACTGAGACACTAGAGAAAGTGTATTTCCTGCATACTGTTGCCTATGTACTAGGTGAATGAACTTTTATCCACATATTCACTTCTGAGACATATGTGAGTGTTAAAGCCTTCCATCAATTAACTTGTTGGGAACACAAAGGTCCTTTCCATTTGGTAACTACACTACAAGCATATATATTGGTAGGTACTAGCTCCAAATCGGTTTACAGTGAAAACTGCAGGCACTTCAAACTAGCACTAGGAAACAGACTGAGAAACCAGAGAAAGGGTTTCCCCTGCAAACCATTCACTATGTGCTAGATGAATGAACGTCTCTCCACATGCTTAGGTCTGAGAGATATGTGTGTGTTAAAGCCTTCCTTTACTAAGCTTGTTAGGATCACAAAGATTCTTTACAGTTGGATACTACACAATGTACATATATATGGGGAGTATCTAACACCAACATGGTTTTAAAGTGAAAAATATTGGAACTTGAAACCAGCACAAGGAAACACACTGTGAAACCAGAATAATTGTTCTACCTGAAACCAGTTCTCTTTGTGCAAGATGAACGTACATCTCCCCACATGTCATTTCTGAGAGTTATGTGTTTATGAAAGCCGTTCTTTAAATATCTTGTTGGGAACACAAAGTTCTTTTCAATAGGAAACTACACTAAATACATATATTTGAGGAGGTACTACCTACAAAATGGATTTAAAGAGAAAACTGCAAGAAAATCATAACAGCACTAGGAAACAAACTGAGTAAACAGAGTAAGTGTTTCTCCTGCAACCAATTCCCATTGTGATTGATGAACGATTGACTCTCCACGTGCTCTGTTCTGAGGATATGTGTGTTTGAAAGCCGACCTTCACCTAGATTGTTGGGAACACAAAGATTCTTTTCAGCGGAAACAACACTTCACACAATTATATGGGGATGTACTAGCTCCAACTCGGTTTTACAGTCAAAGTTGCAGGAATTTCAAACTGGTCCTAGGAAACAGACTGAGAAAAACAGTAAGTGTCATTCCTGCAACCCGTTCCCTTTGTGCTAGATGAATGAACGTCTCTCCACATGCTCACTTCTGAGAGATAATTGTGTGTGAAAGCCGTACTTCACCTAGCTTGTTGGGTACACAAACATTCCTTTAATTTGAAAACTGCACTCCATGTATTCATATGGGGAAATACCAGCTCCAACTCGGTTTTACAGTCAAAATTGTAGGATATTCAACATGGTACTAGGAAACAGAGATACCAGAGTAGTTGTTTCTACTGCAAAATATTCCCTTTGTGCTAGATGAATGAACGTCTCGCTACATGCTCAATTCTGAGAGATAAATGAGTGTGAAAGCCTTCCTTCACTTAGCTTGTTTGGATCACAAGGATTCTTTTCAGTTGGAAAGTACCATACATACATATATACAGGGAGGTACTAAATCCAAATCGGTTTTACATTGAAAACTGCAGCAACCTCAAACCAGGACAAGGAAACTGTCTGAGAATCCAGAGTAAGTGTTTCTCCTGCAACACTTTCTCTTTGTGCTAGATAAACGAAAGTCTCTCCACATGCTCAATTCTGAGAGATAAGTGTGTGTGAAAGTCATCCTTCCCCAAGCTTGTTTGCAACACAAATTTTCTTTTCATTTGGGACTACACTACATATATATATATATATATATATATATATATATTGGGATGTACTAGCTCCAACACGGTTTTTCTGTGAAAAATTCAAGAACATCAATCTGGCACTAGGAAACAGACTGAGAAACCAGCCTAAATTTTACCCATACAACATGATACCTATGTGCTAAAAGAATGAAAGTTTATCCACATGATTATTTCTGAGAGATAAGAGAGTGTGAAAGCCGTCCGACACCAAGCTTGTAGGGAACACAAAGTTTCTTTACTCTCTGTAACTACACTACATAAAAATATATGGGGTGATACTAGATCCAACATGGTTTCAAATAGAAAAATGCAGGAACTTCAAACAAGCATTTTGAAGCAGTCTTAGAAACCTGAGAAATTATTTCTCCTGCAACCAGTCCTCTTTGTGCAAGATCAACGTACGTCTCACCACATGCTCAGTCTTCCGAGATATGTGTGTGTGAAAATCGTCTTTCACCTTGCTTGTTCGGAACACAAAGTTTCTTTTCAGTGGTACCTACACTACTTACATATATATGGTGATGTACTAGCTCCAACTCAGTTACAGTCAAAACTGCAATATCTTCAGATCAGCAGTAGGAAACAGACTGAGAAACCAGAGAAAGTGTTTTTCCTGCCACCCTTTCCATTTGTGCTAGATGAACGAACGTCTCTCCACGTGCTCATTTCTGAGACATAAGTGTGTGTGAAAGCTGTCCTTCACCTAGCTTGTTGGGAACACAAAGTTTCTATTCAGTTGGAAACTATGCTACATAAATAGATATGGGGAGGTACTACCTCCTACTCATTTTTACAGTGAAAACAGCAGGAAATTCAAACCAGCACTAGGAAACACCCTGAGAAACCAGAGTATTTGTTTCTACTGCAAACCGTTCCCTTTTTCTTAGATGAACAAATGTCTCTCCAAATGCTCAGTTCTGAGATTTAATTGTGTGTGAAAACCATACTTCACCTAGCTTGTTGGGAACACAAAGTTTTTTTTCAGTTGGAAACTACAATACATACATATATAAGGTGAAGTACCACCTCCAAATCTGTTTTACAGTGAAAACTGAAGGAACTTCATAGCGGCACTAGAAAACAGACAGAGACACCAGAGAAACTATATCTACAGCATTACGTTCCCTTTGTGCTAGATGAATGAACTTTTTTCCACATTCTCATTTCTGAGGTATAAGTGTTTCTGAAAGTCTTCCTTCACCAAGCTTGTTGGGAAACAATGTATATTTTCTGCTGGAATTTACACTACATTCATATATATTGGGAGGAACTAGCTCAAACACAGTTTTATAGTGGAAACTGCCGGAACTTCAAACCGGCACCAGGCAAGAGGCTGAGAAAGCAGTGTAAGTGTTTCTCCTGGAACCCAATCCCTTTTTTCTAGATGATCTATCATCTCTCCACTTGCTCATTTCTTAGATATAAGTGTGTGTGAAAGCTGTATTTCACCTGCCTTGTTGGGAACACAAAGTTTCTTTCCAGTTGGTAACTACACTACAAAGATATATATCAGGAGGTACTAGCTCCAAATCGGTTTACAGTGAAAACTGCAGGCAGTTCAAACTAGCACTAGGAAACAGACTGAGAAACCAGAGTTAGGGTTTCTCCTGCAAACCTTTCCCTAAGTGCTAGATGAATGAACGTCTCTCCACATGCTCAGGTCTGAGAGTTATGTGTGCATTAAAACCTTCCTTAACTTAGCTTGTTGGGATCACAGATATTCTTTACATTCGGATACTACTCAATGTACATATATATGTGGAGTAACTAACACCAATTTGGTTTTAAAGTAAAAATACAGGAACTTCAAACCAGCACAAGGAAACAGACTGAAAAACCAGAATAATTGTTCTACCTGAAACCAGTTCCCTTTGTGTTAGATTAACATATGTCTCTCCACATGTCATTTCTGAGATATATTTTT